GGGGGATATCCCAGGTGCGGGGCACGTGAGGGGGATATCCCTGGTGCGGGGCACGTGTGGGGGGGATATCCCAGGTGTGGGGCACGTGGTGGGGATATCCCAGGTGCGGGGCACGTGGCGGGGATATCCCAGGTGCAGGGCACGTGCTGTGGGATATTCCAGGTGCGGGGCATGTGGGGGTATATTCCAGGTGCGGGACACGTGGGGGGGATATCCCAGGTGCAGGGCACATGGGGAGGTTCACCAGAAGTGAACACCAGAGGAGCTGTGATGCCCAAGCCAGGCCGCTGCAGCCTGGGCCCCCAGCTGTGACACTCATCACACAGCCACAACAGCTGGGCACAGGGACACGGAGAGGCCAGGCCCGCAAAGGGACGCGGCCAGGCCCGCAAAGGGACGCAGCCAGGCGGCAGACCTGCAGGGGGGCTGCGGCCTGAGCTGTGAGGGGGGATGGTGGAGCCTCCACTCCACAGGGCTCGGGGGAGGGGGCGGAGGGGCGAGGTGTCCAGGGGCCAGATAAAGGGGAGAGATGCAGTGTTCGGTCCCCTCCATTCCCCAAATGCTCGGTGCCACCCGCTGCTCTAGACTACCAGGGAGAGTCGGGGTGGCAGAGGCTGAATGCCCGTGGCCTTGGAGACCCGGGCTGAGACCCGCCCAGCCGGTCTTGCCACCTGTCACCCCTGCAGCGGCTGGCAGCTGCCGTTGTGATTTCTTGGGATGCCACAGCTCCCCACCTTCTCTCCTGTAAGTGAGGCCTGCAGCTGAGCAAGCAGCCCCGGTCTCAGCCGCTCGGAGCAATGGGGCGACGTCTCAGAGAAGGACAGCACGTGTCCTGCCCAGCTCCCTGCCGGCTGGTGACATGACGCCTTGGTTTCCTGGCGTCTTCCCGGGTTTGGTGCCCACCGAGGTGGCAAAGACAACAGCCAGCCCCCGGGGATTGGAGGGCCAACTAAAGCCGAGCTGGGACTATGGGGGAGTGGCCAGGAGGGGGCCCAAGTGGCGGCCTTGCCACCTGCTGCAGCTCCCGGGAGCTCTTAGACTTGGGCAGAGGCCTGGGGAGGCGCCAGTGCCCACCGAGCTCGTCCTCACAGCCCCCAGGGGAGCGCCGGCCAGAGGGGCAGCTGTGGGGTTGTTCTGGCTCAGCCCAGTGACCGAGGTGGTTAAGGGCGACTGGAGCCAAGCTGCCGAGGTCTGGTCGGCTCTGCCTCTTGGCCTGTCCGTGCCTGCGCCTCCTTATCTGCACTGAGTGACGCAGCACCCGCCTCGCTGGGCAGCCGTCGGGAGGGGATGGGGAAATGTGGGGATGCTCTGAGGCCGGGCCTGGCACAGTGCCTCATGGCACACCCGCAGGAAGAGCAGCTGGCTCACAAGGCCTCGAGGGGGGTCAGGTGAGGAGGCTCTTGCTTCCGAGTGGGTCCCGGGCAGATAATCCATCCAGGCCCTCCGAGGCGCTGTGGGACACTCGTTGTCATGGCAGACGAGACCCTATCGAAAGCAGTGGTGGCTCGGCCACTCCAAGCAGGCCCCGTCAGGCCACACGGAGCAGTCGAGGTCACATCCCAGCCATGCCCAGCGCCCTGGGGAGGAGGTCCAGCAGGCTTCCGGAAAGGGCCCTGCCCACCCAGTGGGTCAGCTCTCTGTGCGTGACCCTCAGCCACCCGGCCCCTGCGCGGACTCCCCACCGCCCTCCCCACTAGCAGCTTCCGGGGGTCCTGAGAGCACGCCACGCCAGACAGGCAGGCCCATGCACCACGGAGCCCGTAACTCATTCCCCTGGGTCTGCAGCCCCCGAATCAGCAATAGCATCTAGACAGTGGAAAATTCATCTGAAAAGGAATCTCCAGGCCACCTGAAAAAAGCTTAATGGCTCGGGAGGACTCAGGCAATCACGGGGCTGGCGGCCGCTGGGACACCAGCGGCGTCCCACGGTGCCTCCCTCTCTCGCCCTCACCCCACTGCACCGCGGCCAGAAGCCCAGCGCACAGAAATGCCACAAACAGAGCCCCGGCTGGACAGGGTACCACGCACCAATTCTCGCTCCCCCGGGCCCTCCTGGCCCCCAAGCTGTATCCAAGGAACCCCAAGGGTCCCAGGAAGCCCTGAGGGGAAACCACTCAAGTGGGCCGCCTCTCTGCGCAGCTGGGGAACGAGGCCCTCGGCGGGCAGGGGAGCTCAGCGTTCTGACTCCAGGCTCACTCTTCTGGCCCCACTTGCTAGGGCCAGACCTATGGAAACTGCACCCTCAAGAAATAAGGCTCATTTCGGGTCGCCTGCATCACACCCCTCTGTCTTCCAGAGGCCTCGGAACTAGCCCAGCACCAACCAGAGCCCGCCCCGCAGACTGGCAGAGAGGTTTCGGGAATGAGCTGCAGAAGCACATCTGACAATTCCATACAGTTTCCTTCGGTCCCACGGGGCACAAACGGGCCTTGAAAGGCCCGGGCTGTGTGGCTGAGAGACCTGGCCCAGGCGGCAGGAGGTGAATGCTAATGAGCTATGGAAATAGCAATGACTTCCCCCATGCCAGGCAACGGGCCAAGCCAAGGAGGATAAGGAGGCCTGAGATGTTTTTAAAGTATTTTTACAGCAGAAAAACTTTCCTACAGACTCAATTATATAACTATCAGGCTCCACCTCTGAGCTGAAATTATCCATGGCCTTCAGGAAAAATTTTTTTTTTTTTTTTTTTATTTTCCCCTATGTGAGGGTCACAGGTTTCCCCAGAGAGACCATTAGCTGAAGGGCCAGCATCCAGGCAGCGGGAGCCTTCGGCCAGGGCCTTCCTCCCAAGGGCAGTCTGGAGCTTGCAGGGCAAAATGCCAGCCAAGGGGAGGGCAGAAGTCATGCCACCGACCCGGGCCTCACACACACTGAAGGGTTTAGAAAGGGGCCCCCCGGGGGCTCCTGACCCAGCCCTGTCAGCACCCTGACAACTTCCTTGTCCATGGACGGAGCTGAGGTCACTGGAGGAGAGGGGGTAGCCGGGCACATTCCCTTAAGCACAGAACCGTGTGTCTCGGCAGAAGCCAAGGGAGCATCGGAGAAAGCCTTCCGGGGCTGAGTAACACAGGGTTTCACCAGAGAAGTGACAGCCCAAACCAGAGGGGTGGGTTCAGGGGTTAACTTACAGCCCAGGTTTTTGTCAGCCTGAAGATGGGTGCACTTTGTAATGCTGACACCACAGACATGAGAGAATGAAGGTTGTTGAGTTCTAGAAGTTTCTGGAAAAAATATATGGAATAGATTATTTTGCTGCTATAAACAACAGAACAAAAACATGCTCAGCTGTTACCAAATGTCATATTTATGAAATTCAATTACACTTAAAAATATCTTGTGCAGAAAATATAGCTCTAGAATGTTCACAGAAACCATAGGCTTGTTTTCTTTCAGACTGTCAAAAGGTTAGTCTGCATGCAGTCCAGTGTCCGGGAGCCGCCTGGCCCGGTGGCTGGGCAGGAGCATGGGTCAGCGTGGCTGTTAACGTCCCGTAATGCTCTGCTTTGAGGGATCCAAATGGTCCCGGCAGGATTTTGTAAACTGAAACCCCAGCTGTGCCGACGACATTCACATGGTCTTCGGTCACTACCTTAACACAGCAAGCGGGCGGGCGGATGAACGAGGCAGGAAGGCCGTCATCGCTCTGCCTGATCCCTCAGCGGGGAGGGCAGCGCTCCAGCCTCCCCATCACTTGACAATGCTCCTGAACCAGAACCCTGTCGGTGAGAGTTTCTGGATTCTGCTCAGCCCCAGACCAGTTCCTGACCATGGAGGCAGCAGGGGAGACCAGGCAGGGTAAACGCAGAGACGTGCCACTGCTCTGTTCCCGGTTCACGTGTGGGAGGCGCCGCGGGGCCAGGCCCTCTCCTCCTGGGCCTCCTGAAGTGTGGGTCGGCGAGTGGACTCTGGGCTCCCAAGGCTCCCGCCACTGTGCAGCGTGTGCGGCCTGGTCCTTCCCTGCCCGCCGGCGTCATACTTACAGCGAGGACGGGAGCCTGGCGCGGGTGCCTCTGGGGACAGAGTGTGCAGCTCTCTGAGACCGGGCCTGGGGCCTGTGGACGACCGTCTGTCCTGCCCTACACCTGTCTCGAGTACTAGCAGGCTCGGCTCCTCAGCTGCTTCCTCCAGCCCATCCTTCCTGACCACCAACCCCATGTAGGTAGGCTGCGGCCACGCGGCACGGCCCCTCGGCGCCTGTGTATCCCCTCAGCACGCTGGCTCCCCCGGCCTCGCTCTCGCTGGTCCCAGGCTCCCTGAGAGCAGGGATGCGGCTTATCTCCCTCCACACCCCAGGACCCAGCACAGGGCCCAGCGGGGCCTCATGAAGTGACCATGTTGTGAAAAGTCCCACACCGGGTCCTCACGGCTCCGACCCCACCCCGAGGTTTCTCCCTTGCTGCACAACGCTTCATTTCCCACCTCCCGTAACACTCTCCAGCTGCTTCCTGCAGCGATAATAGCTTCTGTGGGTGCCCTGAATTCCAGCCTCTGGGTCTCAATTGCTATACTGGCCACAGAGTTCCTTTTAGAGCTGAGGGGTCTGGGGGATTGTCCAAGCCACTCCTGACATGCTATAGACGGGAAGACCAAGGCCCAGAGAAAGGCGGGGCCCGTGCACAAACACAGCCGGGCCCAGCTCCAGCACAAAGATCCATCTCGAAGATGGCAGCGGTGGGGCGGGGTCTGACTCATTCCCAGACCGAAAGGGCTGGGGGCAGGTCCGGAGCACACCCTGCTCCTGCCCAGCACTGACAGCCACGAGCATCAGTGGGCCCGGCGCTGCTCGGGGTCCTTCAGATGCAGGGGACAGAAAGCCCCTCAAGTTCTCAACCGTGCACTTGACCTCCTGTGAAGGCATCGGAGCAGCTCCCTGACGGCAGAGAGGGCTCTGCCCACTTGCAGGGTGGCCCTGGGCGTGGGCACCTCGCCCCTCTGAGCCTTCCTTTCTCTGGAAACGGAAAATGATAACACGAGTGTGGAGCACTCGGCCTGCGAGGTCCCCAGTACAGGGAGGCGGCCCGGGCGGGTGGGAAGACAAAACGGGCACAGGGAGCAGGAGGGGGCGGGCGGAGAGAGCAACTCAAGGTCAGAGGTCGGAGGTCGGAGGTCGGGACACGAGCGAAGGAGCTTGCGGGGCCGTGACGGGAGCAATCCCGGCAGGCTTGGGGGTGACGGCGGGAGGGGAGGGGGCCCCAGACTGAAGCCTGAGTCCAGCTGACCAGACGGTGCCCATCAGGCCCAGGCCGCAGGGGTGACGCTGCTGGGGTGGGGGGTGCGGAACCGTGCGAGAGAGACAGCAGCGCAGGCTCGGGGCCCACTAAGCTGCGCCTCAGGTGGGAGGCGGGAGGCTGGGATGCAGGGGGCGCTGGGGACCCGGGGGGCCACGGAAGGCCAGGTAAGGAGACTGGGGTGCCACCAACGTGAGCACCGGGCAGGGGACGTGTGGCAGCAGGCCGGCCGCACAGAGGCCGCCACCAGGGAAGACAGGGCACAGCCCCCGGCGCGGACCCTGCCCACCAGACCCAGAGCAAAGCCGCTCCCAAAGAACTGACAAGATACATTTTTGAAACAAAAACAAAACAAACAAAAAAAAAAAAGAAGGAAAAAAATAATAAAGCAGCTTACCTTGGCTATTTTCACAAAATGGCTCAGGATTTCTGCCCTTATTTTTAAAGTCTGTGCTGTTAGAATCTCTCGTACAACCCAAAAACTGACCTGTGAAGTCAAACACACACACACCAGAAAAGCTGTTAAATGCCCACCACCGTGGCACCCTTGCCCACTACTGAGACGGGGTTTCCAAGCGGCCGGAGGCTGGGAGAGGGCAGTCTGGGGAGGCGAGAGGTGAGGGCTCCTGGACACCCGCCCTGCACCACGGCCCTGCACCCTCAGCACCAACTCCCCAGCACTGCCGTCATCGTGACACACGAGCCCCTCTGAAGCGCCCCAGGGGGTTCTGAAGGCAACTGCACAGGACTCGGCGCAGAAGGAAGGTTACTGCGGGAAGACCCCAGATGGACAGGGGGACAGATGACCAAGGGCTGGACGAGGGGATGCACCTCCCAGCCAGAGCCGAGCCAAGGATGCACCAATACCTGCACAACCGTTGTGAATTTCTGGAGAACAGGTTTGCCCAATCATTTAAGTGACACAGAAGTACCTTCCCAGGAAAGCGGGTGGAGGGCAATGCTTTTCCGAGGCAGCGTCTCAGAAGGAAACGCCCGGCTCTTGGTTCAGGGCGGCATTCGTGCCTGACCTTTCCCCATAAAGCACCGCCCTGGCCCTGGGCCCCTGGGGGAGCGGGGAAGGCATCTAGCACCCTGGAGCTGACTGCCTGACCCCTCAGTGAGGCTGGGGCCAAGAAATGCTGGGCGTGCTAGCGGCCTTGTTTGTATTTCACTACTGTAACAACAGCTCTAATGGAAACGAGGATGCCCGGGAGCACAATGATATCACTGCACAGAAGGCGGAGCTCTGCGCCCAGCGGAGGTGCAGACTTAAAAGGAAGGTGAGGCCGCTAAAACCTCTCAGCATCTAACAGAAAAAAACAGCCAAGAAATCCAGTTGACCGTACAACCAAATAGATCTCTTTACTAAAACACTCACTTTTCGATGAAGAAACAAGAGTAACTAAGAAAGAAAAATTTGCTGCTGCTATTTAGCAGGAGTGTTGCAGAAAGTCTTCCCAGCCTAATTATCTGCGATTGCCTCCAGGACAGGCCTGGCTTTCCATAGAGTCATTTTTTCCAAAAACTTGCCTAAATTAAGTTCAGATTCAAGTGTTTATTAACAGTTGTGGAAGAAAGCTTTTCTGGATACCAAATCCTAGGCCCATAAATCTTACCGTTTAATAATGAGCATTTTTATACCACGCCATCCCAGTCGCGATCATTTATATGTGTAATTTAAGAGATTCCTAAGCGCAGCGATGGCGAGATTGAGGCAGAACTGGGGGCCGTGGGGGCCTGGCCTGGTCGGCAGCCATGCCTCACAGGGCCTTGCTGGGACAGGCTCCAGGCCCGCCGGTGCTTGCCTGACGGGGAGGTGACCACAGGCGGCACAGCCCTCCAGAGTCAGTGCTTCGGGGGACAGTGAGGACAGTGGCCG